CCCCCCCCCCCCCGGAGGGGGACGGGGTTGCAGTCGTATGAACAGCCCCCCCCAGCCCCGCCTGCCCCACGGCTCCCCGCCGGCCCTGCCCGGGGGTCAGCTGTCACTGCGGTTGGGGGGGGGCGGAAGGATGCAAAAAAGCAAACGCACACCCACCCACCCAAAAAGTCAACAGGCTAGAAAAATACATGGCTATACATACAACCCAACACGTATACACATACATATTATATACACACGTCTGCACGCACAAAAAGTTAAAAATCCCTAGTATTGAAGCCAGCTGGAGGTCGCCAGACACATCCCTCAAAGAAAATTCAGAAGGAAAAAAGGGAAGAAGGAAAAAAAAAAAGCCCTCCTCCCTAGAGAGGCTGAAGGGAAGAGTCTGGTTGCTGTGGTGGAGCTGATCCTAAAGTTAACTTTCAGCAGCCCATTTCCAGACAGCAGCGCTGAATCTATTTGGATAAAACGCGTGTGACCCAGACATTTGGCGTTTGGCCCAAACGCGTTGCACCGGCAGCCCAAATAAAAACAAGAGTCTGACTCTGACTCTCCCTCTCTCTCTCCCCTCTCTCTTGTACAACAATGAAAGAAAATAGCGAAGACAAAACCCGCACACACATCGCCGGGCAGCGAGAGCCCACTTACCTCCTCCCACCAAACAAAGTCCCTTTTAACCCCGGGCCGCTGCGGAGACAGACACACACCGATGAACACGGCTCCGCGGGGTTAAGAGTCTGGCAAACCCCAAGCGGCTCGAAGTAAATCAAAACCACACGCTTCCATCTTCCTGATGAGCCCGGCGAGAGCCCGACATCCCCGCCAGCATCGGGCTGCGGGACGGCGGCCGCCCCGACCCTCCGAGCCCCGGCACAAAATATGCACTTGTCCGACTTGACCGCTGCAGCGGACAACGCCGGACACGGCACGGCACGACCCGACCCGACGCCGGGATTCCTAAAGTTAAAGCAATCCGGAGTAGCTGTAGGTTGTCGTTGGGGCTTGGGGGCTGCTTTGGTTTTCATCTGTTGTTTGATTTATTATCTCTTTTTTCCTCCCTCTACCAACGATTTAGTGTTAAAAGTACGAAAAAAACCTAAAAAAAAAAAAACCTAAAAAAAAAAAAAAAAAATGCACCGTTCGAGACCGTACTTCATAAACCACTACTCTCTTCGGCTGAAAAT